TTGTTCACACAGTCTTACTCTTAGCGCTGTTGCTGTGGTGTCTACACTCTTACTCTTAGTTCTCTGGCTCTTGTTTGTTCACACACTCTTACTCTTAGCTCTCTTGCTCTTTTTGCCTCACACACTCTTACTCTTGGCTGTCTTGCTCACACACTGTGATGTTGTCCACTGTTTGTGTAAGAGCAGTTCAATGGCGGATGTGATTAGTCGTTTATCTCGTACTTGTGTTTCCCAGATACACACGGCCAACCCGTACCCGGTCGAGCCTCGGTGGGAGCGTGCCGTGAGCCGTTCGAATCCATTCCGCTTGGTGATTTGAGCAGACCGTGCCTGACTGAAAGCGCAAAGGTGTGCGTGTGTGTGTGACTCCTGCCGTACCATCGAGTCTTTTCGTCACGCCTGTGCTCGACTCGATTGTCCGTCTTTGTTTTCCTACCAGACGAAAGGCACGGGCTGCGTCTCTGTCGCGGTGGACGCGTCATTGTTTTTCAACGCCAACTTTGAAGAGCAAACGCAAGAGACGCGTTTTGTGAATGTTACTCGGGAGGGAACAGGTGAGCTGTTAAGCACATATTATTCTTTATGCTCTTTACAAGACATCCACTTTAAGACACAAAGTTGATATCGTCCACCGTTTGTGTAAGAGGAATTCAATGACTGATGTGATGAGTCGTTTTTCTCGCACTTGTGTTTCCCAGATACACGCGGCCAACCCGTACCCGGAAGTGTGCCGTTTGAATCCATTCTGCTTGGTGATTTGAGCAGACCGTGCCTGACTGAAAGCGCAAAGGTGTGTGTGTGTGTGTGTGTGTGGGACTCCTGCCGTACTGCTGAGGGCTTAATTGTCCGTTTTCCTTATGACCGGATGAATGGCACAGGCTGCGTCTCTCTTACGGTTGACGCTGTTCACACACTCTTAGCTCTTTTAGCGAACGCAAGAGACGCGTTTTGTGAATGTTACTCGGGAGGGAACGGGTTTTTTGTTTAGTTTTATTGAAAGGATCCCCGTCAGCTACAGCGACGCTGCAGCTATTCTTACTATTGTACTAAAAAAGTATGTACATTAAAAGAAAATACACAAACACGTGATACAAATACACGTGTACGATATGAACACGTATCGACGTGCATACAAGTGTAAAAAATACACACGAATATAAAAGCACATTATACACTCGCACCTATAAACATACCTACACGCATACATAATCGCACTCGTGTAGCGAAATAAATGTAAACGCATGTTTGTATAGGCGAGCTTTTAAGCGTGTATTCTTTACGCTCTTTACAAGACATCCGGTTTAAGACGCAAAGTTGATGTCGTCCACCGTTTGATCACATCCGTCATCGAATCGCCCTCACGCGAACGGTGGACGAGGTCAACTTTGTGTCTTAAAGCGGATGTCTTGTAATGAGCGTAAAGAACGCATGCTTAATAGCTCACCCATAAGTACCAGATAAACTGATCACATCTGTCATGGAATTGCCCTTACGCAGTTTATCTGGTACTTGCGTTACAGCTGCCTGTGCTTGATTTAATTGTCCGTCTATGTTCTCCTACCGGACGAATGGCGATGCCGAAGCGCAAATGCGAGAGAACGGGTGAGCTATTAAGCATGTATTCTTTATGCTCTTGAGAAGACATCCAATCGAAGACACAAAGTTGACGTCGTCCACCGTTTGATCACATCCGTCACGGAATCGCCCTCACACGAACGGTGGACGATGTCAACTTTGTGTGTTAAAGTGTATGTCTTGTGAAGAGCATAAAGGAGATATGCTTAATAGCGAATTGCCCTTACGCGGTTTATCTGGTAGTTATGTTTCCCACTCATGGGTTTTCCTTCTGCCTGCGCTTGATTTAACGGACCGTCCACGTTCGAATGCCACGGGCTGCGTGTCGTTGGTTTTCAATGGCAAATTCGAAGAGGGAACGCAAGAGACGTGACTTGGGAGGGAACAGGTGAGCTATTAAGCGTGGATGTGTTGTCGAGAGCGTGAAGTCGACGTTGTCCAGTGGCAAGTCGATGCTCTTTTTTTACGAGACATCCACTTTAACGCACAGACAATGTATGGTCGGTAGCTCACCCGATGGTTCCCCCAAGTGGGAAACACGAGTACCAGATAAACTGATCGCATCCGTCGGTGAATTGCCCTC